AGTAGAAAGAAGAAATAACCAGCTACCACCAATTTATAGATCTATACAATACAACAGTGCCTCAAACAAAAGAAAGTTGCAAGAAATGAGGCCAAAAAGAGAAAAATGAAAGCTGCATACCACTAGATTACTATGAACATAACTAGTAGATTACTATTATGAACATAACTAGGCTTCATCAAGATAAGCTAGTTATATGTATGAGACATAAAAGGCAAAACTGTTTCTAGCCATAGGAAAGTAAGTGTGTACAAAGATGATTTGATCCAAGTTGTAAACACAGACAAAATAGGAATGAGAAGAAGAGGAGGAGGAGTAACTCACTATGAAAAAAAGATTCTTGGATATTCCAAATTTGCAAAGGTCAAAACTTTCCTGTTTCTTTATGCTGTAAAAATGTAAACTTTGCTGAGAAAATTTTCTTGTGGTTGTCTAAGAAGCAACAACAACATCAGCAACAAAACAAAAACATATGTAGGGACTAAATGTCCCTCTTATATCTCCCTCTTGAAATCCCCTCCACAACCCACAATCAAAAATTAAATCCCCTTATTCTCTCTCTTTCTATCTATTTGTCTTAGTTATTATTATTATTATCTGTCATTAGCTCTCTTGAATATGATTCCCTTCAAGCAAAGTCTGCCTACAAGAGAAGATTCCACTTACCAAGTACTGACCCCACCACCTACTCCCCCCCACCCCCCACCCCCCCCACACCCCTCAAACTCTGGGGATTCCCATTTATAAAGTCAACCTACAAATCAAGAAAACAACCCCATTTAATCCAAAGCTCAAAAAAAGGAAGCAAAAATCATTTGTTAAGGTAAAATAATTTGATTTTTACACTCTTTATTAGCTCAAGAATACTCTAAATGGGAAAAAGATTTGATTTTTATAGACTCTTTATTAGCTCAAGAAAACACATAATTGGAAAAAAGTTCTTTTTTTTTGGTGGCTTTGTGAGTAGAGAATTGTGTGTTTGCCACTTTCCAATTTACCCCATTACTATATTTAGATGCTTTGTGACGTAATTCAAGAAAATGTTAAAATAACAATCCACTTGCTAAAAGGAAAACAACTTTATTCACACGCGCTGGTGATGGCGCGTGTTGAAACTTGATAAAACTGACGTAAGAAACTTCATGCATAAAATAAGAGAACGTGATTGGGGCGTGTTCATAAGTCATAGTTAGAGCGCGTGAGAGATTAGTGTTTTAAACATTATGGGTAATCAGATTTATGACAACATTTTTGTGTAGTTTTAGGTAGTGTTATGTTAAATACAAATCTCAACTCCACAACCAACACATTTGGACCACATTTTGGAACTCTATTTTAATTGCAAGTTGGAATTAACCAAATTATATTAATTAAAAGATAACCATGTATAAGCAAATTACAGTTATCAATCTGAGAAATAAAAGTAAACAATTCTCTTTTAATTTACATTAATAAAATACGAGAGAAACTTATTAAGACATGTATATTTATATAAGTGGTATTAAATCAAGAAAGATGCACCTTATTTTTGTGATACTATTTGCGACTTCTTTATTAAATTAAACCCTGTAAAATTGAGATTGCTTTTGAAAATTTTTGCATACGCCATTAAAATTAATTGATCTAGATTAAGATTTAAAATGTGATTAATTGGTACTTTTGGTTTTAGTGTGTTTTATCAGGAGGACTGGCATGAATTGTCAGAAAAGAATATAGTTTAAATTTTGTCAAGAAAAAACAATGGATAAATAAAATATCACTCAAAAAGAGATTAAAAGAAATATAGAAACATGTGAAACTCCATTGAAGTGATAACCCATCTTCTTCTTATTAATTTTCCAATTTTTTTTATATATAAATAAAGAAATAAACATTTTTTTTTACTAATTACCATTATTAATCTACTTTTATTTTTCTTCTTTCATGTTACTTTTGATTATAAATTATAAAACCCTTTCTTTCCTTGACTACAATTATTGTTGTTGTTATTATTATGTCAAATATTCTAAAATTAACCAAAAAGGGACTCCACTTGTTATTATTTAGTATTAACTAATGTAATTAAAGAAATGGAACCAAAGAATAATGTAAAATAAATAAGCAAGTTGTTCCATCAAACTCACTTTGGAATCATCACTGTCCAAATTAAAGGGTCCTTCACATGCTAATCCTCTAATTAACAAAGATTAAGCTTTCTTTAAAACATAATTAACAAAGACATATTAAAGGTTTAACATTACCAATTCCAAACTTGTGACACTATAGTTTCAATGTTAAGGTGTCGTAATTAAGTTGTGTTTAAAATGTAATGAGTGAACAAATTTACAACACTCCAGTATAAATTTATAAGAGTTAATAATTGATTATAAGTGATAAGTCATACGTGTTCAAAATATAATGAATAAAACATTAATCTAAGTTACTTAATAGGAGTAGTGAAATATATTGTTCTTATTTCAGAAAAACACATGATGGGTAAATTGCTAACTTAAAATTTTGTTATGTAAAGTTTCCTAACATGCTTTGTATCAGGCTATAAATTTTTTTTTGTATTTCAAGATGCAATATTGTGTTTTAATTTATAGTGAGAAGTAATCTGTCTTATTTTTCATATTACTTCGTAACAATCTAAACTAATAAAGTAAAATTTATTTATATTAGTATAAATGTTTTAAATTCATATTTTTTTTGGTTGATATTAAAAGTATTAATTCCTACTCTGGCCGATAATGGAATTCCATCCACACAAAACATTTTAATATAAAGTTTGTTTTCTTTTTGGCTTCAAGTCAACATGATGACCACTATCTTTTAAATTATATATACGGCTACTGTTTTAAAAGAAAGTATTTGGGATCATATGTAATCAATATATGACCTAAACAATTAATTAAAAAACTCTAGATTTGATCCAAAGTATATAAATAAAAATAATAATTATGACTCTCACAATCCATAAAAAATAAAAACAAAAACAAAAACTTATTTTAAAGTGCATAAATCTAAACTTATAGCAATTTAACTTGTATAATGCTTCGTTACGCAGTCGACCAAATTTGGCATGTCCCAATCGGACAAACGCAAAATGACCACTAACGTCATAATTTGTACTTTCAATCTTATCCCGTTTCGTTTCAATTTATTCATCTTATTTTTATTTTTAATCGACTTAAGAAAATATGTATCACTTTTGTTAAGATTTCTAAAATGAAATAAAGAGGATATAGTATATTATATGATGATGCTAGAAGAGATATAGAAATTAAGCGAGAGATGTTTTTGGAAAAGAAAGACTAGATTTAACCTTATTCGTTAAATACGATTCAGAATCAATCGAATGAATATATTTTAAATAAAAATAGTTGAATTTTGTAAATATGATTAGATTAAAATTACAATTAAAAGAATGAAGAAGATATTATTTGTAGTAGTTATAATATCAACCATGACATGATATCTTGTCTATAAAAACATATTTGTTAAAAGTATATTTAGAGATCGAAAATTATATATTATAGCAACTTGTATTGTGGGTTGTTGATTGATATTGAGCATCACACTATTTAATTAGCAATACTTATATATATATATATAAAATATATTTCTTCTACAATTAAAAAAAAACTACTCTTAATGTTTCTTATTTTGTTTTTGGTTGTCAAACTTGAGAAGTTCAACCATCAAATTAATAAATTATAATTACTACTATTTGATCTGAAAATTCATTTATATTGTCTATTTTTGACCTTGAGTTTTTTTTGTTTTTTTTTTTCATTTGACTTTTGCTTAACTAATTTTTAAATTATTATCTTAATATTTCCTTAATTTGCATGAGTATATATTATTCACAGAATGCAAAAGTCAAATTAATATCCTATACTCCAAACACAATCAAATGACATCAACATATTATAATGAGTATTATCTTATATAGTTTTTACAAATTTTGAGAATTTAAATGCATTTTAATACCACATTCCAAATAAATCCAACTTCTATTAGATGTTCTATTTCTATTCATGTGAGGTGGGATTTAGGAGCGTAAAATGTATACATACCGTCTCTCTTTCTGGGAGATAAAAAAATTATTTTCGATAGAGTCTCAATTCAAGAAAAAAAAACAATCCAAAACATTTCATTTGTACTTCATATACAAGAATTCTAAATAAGAATTCAAAGACTTAAAAATGAATTCAACTAGCCATGTTTTCCAAAGGCGTAAGGAATAATACCCAAAGGATAGTTTGTAGCTCACCAAGTGAGCTTAATCCTCGATCAATATATCGAAATATTAAACTACCTTTAAAAAATAAGGCAAAATACAAATGAAAAATCCTCAAATTTTTCATATTCAATACTTTCTAATTCAATTTTGTAAGAGCTTCTGTGCATGTTCTTTAACACCTGCAACATATTTTAAGTGATTTACTTATCTATATACAGTTAGACACATAATATTTTCATTTGAATCGAAGCCATCTAATATTATTATCATTAAAAAAAGAGTTAGTCCCACGTAGTAAGTTGACAATATTTATAGTTGTACTTAGTTGCGCAATCGTGATTACCTATGCTATTAGTTTTATCCCCAACCAATAATACTAATTAAGTGTTTGCTTTGCACTCTTCAACGCTTATCTTTTTCTTTTTTTTGACTATATCTTATGATATTTGTGTACCTAATTATTATAAAAGTTGATTATTAAGACTATATTAATGATTAAGTGGACAGATGGTGCCTTCTAATTGGTCCATAAGGATTCTACTAAAGATACCAAAGCAAATTTGTGATCCTACTTTATTCCATCGTATCATATATCGATTCAAATTTTAGTTTTTCAACGAAAAATTATTTAACCCACTAAGCATAGGTATCGTGACAACAATAAACATATATAACTGATCTGGCAATGACTACTCCCTCCTCAATATATTTGCGTACACAGAATTTTACACAAAAAAATGATAAAATCTATCAATATATTATCACAATTCAAGGATTGAGTTAAAATCGATCTATATATTATCACAACTCGTGTGAGTGATAGGATGTCTTTCCCATTGCTTTGATATTTTAATCCATAGTTTCAATTTTGATATATGGAAAAGTATATTGAATAAAGATGTTTAAAACTTTTGTAAACAACACGACTTAAATCTGTAGGGATAAGTTTCTTAACCTAAGTGTTGGGTACTAAAACTAACTCTCCATACATGTTAAATCGTGGCCTTGTTGACCTTCGACAAATATCTACTTCGCCTCAGTCCCAAACAAGTTTGAGTGTAGGCTAATATGAATCCCCATTCCTTCAGTTAAGCCCAGCGGATTGAGAATTAGCATACAACCCAATCACCAAAGAGAATACATACTCTTACCATAAGAAACAATGTTTTCTTGGATTACTCCTTAATAGGACACAACATAGTTGAGTTATCGCCTTCACAGTGAGACGAGATGCGATTTTCTTGAGTTAGAGACATACCAGCCAGAAGCACAGTTCATGCAAAACATTGCAATATTTATCTCTCTTTGGATCTACATGGGACGCGAACTAAATGAACATGAAAGGGAAAGAGCTCAGATCTGTGTGTATTTCATGAGTGACTTGAGAATCGGATAGAGACCTCAACCCAACAGCAGGAAGATCTTTCTTTCTTGCCTGCAATAACAAAACCAGCAGATAGCCGATGTACCAAACTAGCTGTCCCGGTTCCCTTGACCTATATCTCTCTCCTGGCTGTTTGAATTTGTCCTCTTTCTCAAAGATCCACTGAAAAAAACAACCATATTGGGGAGAAAATATATTAAAATGAGTTTCATAACTCAAAAGTGGAAACTCAACCTAAACATCATTTCCAAGTACCAGCAAGCCAAACTTGCCAAAGACTGAACCATTTACATCCATATAATAGGGAACAGCAGGCAACAAAAAAGAGATGCTACAAGCCCCACATATGAGATGGAAAAAGAAAATAATAAAGAAGACATGAACAGGACAAAGCAAAAAATATTACGGTTGGACTTCAAAAGGGAACGAACTCCATGAAACAGACATGGGAGACTACTCTCATTAACTACATTAACATATGTGAAGAGAATAATGTAACTTTCTCTAAGTGAAGCTTGTTGATCATTCATCATTCAAGCTCTTCACATTAACGGAGTTATCACTAGTGCCATCCTAGCCAGGCACGTGCCGAAAGAATCAATAACTTAAGTTTACTACAGCTGGAGCTCGATTGGGTGTGCAATCAAAGTGAACGATAAAAAAAAATATTTTTAAGTGAACTAGAAGAGGTCCAAGAATATTCGGCCAAAATCCAAATTATGAATCCAACTTGATAACAGAGGCTCGTGATTTCCAGGGTGAAGAATAAATAAATGAATTGTCACCTTCATGCTCCACTGTCAACAAAACGATGAGAAAAACAGCACTAGGAGGAGTGGGCAATATCTATATTCAACAGTAGACTAGATGAAGTTCAAATTGGTTGGTCACAACTCACACCTGATTTATGAAAATCCCCTTCACACCAAAAATTCAAGATTCTCAACATGATTAATAGAAGTAACGAGTGCATCACCTTGTCATGCTTCGCTATCAAGACAAGGAGCAACTGTTTAATTCTCTGCATAAGACCAAGCCTTGACATGAGATAGTGCAGCATCGAGTCAAAACATCAAAAGGGTTAAAACAATCCACATATTTTCCATTAAAGTACTGTGGGAAATAAAGGTCACTTTTCTTCACAACATAGTGTCATAATCATTAGAAGTACCTACTCCTGCCTTTCTAAGTTCACATATACATACATACCACAACAACTAGTGTAATAACATACTTGAAACTCTTTTTCCTTGTGAAATAGATAAAACATGTTTACTTGAGCAATTAACTGAAAAATTACAGTGTCAACAACTTGCAGGGAAGCATGCACTATACCTCCTCATTAGGATGCATGAAATTCGTGAAACCTTCATGGTGATTATAGTGACAACCACATGTCGGAGCATTGACTGGGGGGGCTGCAGATAGTTTGGCTCGAGGCAGAGTATGAGAATATCCTTGGACAAGTTGCATATTAAATAGTCAAAGAAGATTCTGCTACCACACCAAACAATTTCTTTTTTGAGAAAGATAACAGTACACTAATCATCAGCACAAAAGCTGCGTTGCAGTCATATTTACAATTACAAACGAAAGTAGAAGAGTGACCTTGTTCTCTTACAAGGATCCTAATAATTCTAATAAGAGCTTTAGCTTCCTCTCCATGATTTTCTTCACGTTAAAGTTAAAAGTAACAAAATTCAATTCATTTTCATTCTCTGGGTGGGACTGCTTCAATCTTCGAAACACCTTGCATTGCATGCTGGGGTTTCCACTTCTTCTGTCTAACATTACCTCCCACATTAATCCAGCACATCATCAGATACCAAACAATTTTTGAATCTGCTTTATTCCATTGCATGTTCTAATTCACTGTACTCAATCCAACTTTTTTTTTTCTTTTAGAAAGTCAATCAAAACTTAAAGTCTCTAAACGCAAAAAAAGACACACTACCAATATCAAGGAATAATACAGATTCCCCACATATCATACAAAATTGAGTTTTCAGCAATGAAAAGTTCACCCTTCACCAATAGCAAGCATAAGCAATCATCGCGATAACTAAGTGTATTTGTCCTAAATGGAATGATCAATTGACTAATTAGATGTGAAATACTTCATTTAACCATATTTAGTGGTAAACAATGCTATATAACTATATTTAGTGGTCATTAATTAACTCCAATTACACTCCTAACTAAGTTGCTTGGACTCTTCACTTATGGTGCCGCACCCATGTCAACACGACATGAGTGTGGGTGTGGGATCTGTGTCCAATTTGGTCAACCGATTTAGGGTGCTTTGAGCAAAATCGACGGGGAAAGTCAGGATAGTTTTAATAATTTCAATAATCAATGCAAAATCTAAGTTGAAATTGAAGAAAATAGAATACCTTTTATATATAAATTTCTTTGTCACTCCTTTTCCTTTAATCTCAATATGAGATTCTCTTCATAATATCTCATAATTTAGGTTTTATAACTTATTTTAGACATTCTAATCATTTTTAGGTGAACCCCCGCAATCGTATCCATACATAAATCCATAACCCGAATCTTAAAAATTAGATCATGAAGGATCCAACCTCTCCATCCGCACCCGTATCGGACACCCGCACCCGAGTCCGAGCAACTTAGATTCTTAATGAATTAGATAATAGTTTCATCATAATAAGAGGATTCGTCCTGATCAATTTACTAATTTGTTGTTAACTATTAGTCTATTACACTTAACCATATGTAGTAGTGATCAACAACATTATTCAACTATATTTAGTGATCAATTAATAACTCCAATTACATTCTTAATAAATTAGATAGTACTTTCATCATGATAGATGATCAACCAAGTGCTATGTTGCCTCAACCACAAATTACAAACAATTCATCCCAATTAATAAGGCCACCTTAGGGCCCAATCCCTTATGCACCATCCCACTATCTGCATTCTGACACTGTTGTCATGCATCAAAGTGTTGGGTTGTCAGACTAGTTTCGATTATCAAATGCTCAATTAAAGGCAAGTGAGTATGATGCGCATGCCACACGTGACCAGTGTCATTTGGGGAAGATTCTCTTTCTGCCCATTAGAACTCATCGTTCATCGAGTTGAGCAAATTTTCTGATGAGTGATTAAACATGCCACTTTGCTTCAGTAACTTGGGAAACAACTCTGGATCCAAAATTCAATCTTTGAGATCACAGTACTCAGCGAATTTGATGTGCCTCACACACATGAGCAGTAGGATTTCCAATATTAAGGATGAATACACTCGGTACCAAAATTTAGGTGTTGGGAAGTAGCTGATTACAGGTAGTACTTACTTATTCAGAAACTATTGGAGATACCTACTCTTTGAACTGACAGAGGTAAATATAGAATCTAGAGTTTATGGGTTCAAAATGAATGTGATCTTATATGTAAACATTTTAAATATCCACACAAAAAACGCATAGATTCACGCTTATCAAATGATTCACAAGCGAATTGTAGGCCGCAGTTAAAGTTACTCATGTTATTAAATACAATTACGAAATGGAAAGACTTGTTGCTATCTTTTTGCTCATTTCTGAATGTCTCAGATGAAGACGTTTCAAGGGAAAATAACTTTTCAGAATGGTTATTAAATGACTTCTGAAATCCCATTGTCAGTTAATCAGCAATTTAAGCAACTAGTCGTATTTATCTTACAAGTAGCAATTCAGAAATCCCAGCATGTTGAAGTATAGATAGTTCCTTAATGTAGAAATAATCTCTCAGGAACATCAAAACACATATGATTTGATTACTCCAATTGCGGTTTTCAATAAACATAATACAAGCTACAGATGTTGCAGACCAACCACAATAATGCTGACTAACTGAATCCCACAGACAATGTGGATTCCAGTTACTTCTATGATAATAGAGCCCTAGGTGCAAAGATAGCAAAAGCTATTCAGGTTTAACTATTGTCAGTAATAAGCCTCGTTTTTCATTTTGGGAATAAAATGCCAAAAAAAGGAAAATTTTTACTTGGAGAAATGTCGCTAGCAGGAAGACTGAATAAGATGATACTTGAGCAGCTGCTTGAAGTGCGAGCGAGAATAGCTAATTCACACCCTTAGAATCTGAAGCTTGTTGGAGAATGCAATGGCAACCCAATCAGGCTGGGATGAGGACCACTGAAGCTGCTCGATTTCTGCACCTGCAGTATAAGCCAGAATTGGATCCAATCCACCTTCTATTGGCTGACCCATTGAAGAGAGATCCCAGATAAGCGCCTGTGAGTCGTCACCAGCAGTACAAATATGGCAAGAGCTGTGAGGAGCCCAGGCAATGGCATTCACACTAGCCTGGTGCCTCTGTAGTTCCACCACCGGCAGTGTCGGGAAACGGATGTCCAAAACTACAACCTTTGCACTGTCCATTATTATGGTGGCCATATACCTAGGATCCTGCTTGTTCCATCCAAGGCGTACAAGAGGAGTATCAGGCTCAGAACTCTCATAGATTATCGTAGAGTGCTCCTTATCACGAAGATCAAAAACCCTAACAGACCCATCAGCTGAAACAGAAGCAAAAACTCCAACCCCACCCCAAGCAATATCATAAACCTCCTTATCATGAGCAATTAACTGGGTATCGACAGTCTCCCTCTCAATATCCCATATAGTACAGGTAGTATCAATACTCGACGTACCAATCCGCCTCGGCTCAGCTTCATTCCAGTCAAATGAGGTTAACGGACCGGAAAACTCACTGTTCCGGTTGTTATTAAGAAGACTCTTCATGTCAACCCGACTATTATCATTGGAGACTCGCCAAATCCTGAGATAATCACTAGAGGTAGCGATAAGGTCCGGCTTCTGGCACTCCTTATCGGGTATGAAGATAACTTTCGTAGGCGGATACGGGTGCTCAAATGAGAGTTTCGGGTCGGACCGAATCTCACCATTAGAGTCATCAAGCTGCACAATCTCAACTCGGTTTTGGTACTGCTCGAGCAAGCTAGCAATGGCGAGACGATACTTCTTATCCTTGCGAACACTCCAATTCATAGCGTATATGTGCCATGGAGCCTCGTAGGTGTAGATCTCGGAGCGTCTCTGCTGTTCGTCGGAACCATCTTGCTGGTTCGGATCACTGCTTGCTCCCATTTCTGATTTCTTCTTCTTCCGCCGCCACTGCCGACCGAATTAGGGCTTTGATAGTAACAAAGTTTGGGAATTTAATTGATCGGGAAGATGGAGATGAGGTCGTCTAACTCCAGATATAGTTTCAGAAATTACACTTTAACTCCTTTAGTTTTACTAGTGTTTATGCACGTACCATAGACTATTTCCTTTTAATTATTCCAAAATCATACAAGTCCACGTATGCCCTAAACTACGCGATAACTCATATCCTACTTAGCGTTATATGTAACAATTCATGTCCTATATAATGGTCTTATGTGTATTATATATCATACACGATATGAACGTCTGCATATTTATTTGATTTTATATAAATTTAAGTATCTATTTATATACGCCTAAAACTAAAGCATATGAGTCAAAAGTGTAATATTTTGTTATATGTTCATGTTCTCAATTGGTACAAAATTATAAGTCAAGTATATAATTTACTTGTAAATTTAAAAAGTTATTGATGAATTCAATCCCAAAACATGAAAATTTAAACGAGATGAAATTTATACAGATATTTTACTTTTATACGAAATTATACATAAATAAAGATTAATTAAAATTTGAGAGAGAAAATGAGCAATGGGTTAAGAAGGTCAATTAGCATTTCTTTTTGATGGTGTGTGTTTCTAAAATAGTACTCACAATTTATTTAATTCTCTAAATATAGGAGCGACCTAAAAAAATTTATGCTTTTCTATTATACTATTATCTTTTTTATGCATGTATGTTCTTCATTGTGGATAAACAATCCATACTGCTTTTAATTATTTTCAATTAAAATTTGGCTCAGCATGAGTGTCACTTTTTCATTCGTTCACCTTTATTTGTTATAAATTTTTTTAGTTAAAATTAAAAAAACTTTAATCACTATTTTACTATGCAAAATCACTTTAAAATTTTATATGTTTCATATAAATTGAAACAAAATATATATATATATATTAAAATAAATACATATAGAAGCGTTGAACTTATCCGCTAAACTTACTTTTTAACTTTACAGACTCTTTTATCACATATTAAGAGTCCAATCGTTTCTCAAATCTCCATTAGTAATAGAACAGAGAGAATAAAATAAAATTTATTTATCATATTAAAATCTAAATGACATTCCAAATTATATTTGTCACATAAATATAAAACAAACAAGTAATATTTATTTGTTGGTTGTATTTGTAAATAGCCCTCCGTAGTAGTTTAGAATTATTTTTTTTGCTTTTCAAGAATATAACTTCTTTCTAGGTCCGACGCTTTAGGATCCAACTGTATATTCGTTATTATGTATGATATAACCTCATAGAAACACCCACTTTATGAGACTAAAACGTTCAATTTATTCAGAAAGTGATCAGAACTAACACAAGAAAGTTTGTTGGTACACAACCACACTACCACCCAAAACAAACATTTTTTTCTTGGATTACTTCTTCACTACACCAACACATTTTCATCTTCACATTGTAGGCCTTATATTGAGACGAGACGCGAGCTTCTGACCAAGAGACTTGTCAGCCTGCACCATATACATGCAAAACAAACATTCTTATCGTTGTGTCCCTCAGGATAAATGTGGGATTAAAGTAGTAGCATGTAAAGGAAAGAACTCTTGACCTGTGACCAGTATGAGATCCAGATACTGCGAATTTCATGAGTGGCTCGAGGATCAGATAGAGCATCAACCCATCTGCACAAAAATCTTTCTTGCCTGCAATCACAAGGCCGGCAGATAAGTACATAACTGATAGGGGTGGAAACTTGGTGACTGAAAATAACAGAGGAACTAGACTACCTGTCCGGTGCCCAAGATCTGTAATGTTCTCCTGGCTGCTTAAAGTTGTTCTCTTTCTCAATGATGACCTGCAATATAACTCATCATGGTTTAGACATATGGAGGAAACAAGACTAGGGAAAAAGGAGAATATTTATATTTATGAAAGGTTAACTTTGCACCAAAAATAAGATAGTGTCACCTTTTCGCGTTTTCCTGTCAAGACACGAGGAGGAATAGGGTACTGCTCCGCATGACGACAAGGATCAAGCCTTGAGGGCAAATAGTTGACCTGAAACAGCATACAACATCAGGTTAACACATCAAAACAGTAAACTGTCAATACATGCACTTCCAAAATAGTGTGAGAAGCAAAATTCGCAACTAGGCTTCATCATCAGACCAAAGTACCTTTCTTGCCTTGCTAAGTTCACATAGACAAGGGAACAACTAGGCTAATATGATTAACAACCCCTTGTCTTTCCTTGTGAAGTGGATAAATATTTCTACTCTAAACAATCCACTAAAAATAGCAACCTCAAGGATGTACTATACCTCTTCATCACGGTGCATGAAATTCATGAGACCTTCATGGTGATTATTGTGATGAGCACACTTGGGAGCATTAACTGGGAGCTGCAGATAGTTTGGACCAAGGCGGTGTCTCTGGGTATCAGCATATGAGAATACCCTAGTTTGGAGAAGCTTATCATCCGAATAGTAAACACCAGGGACAATAATGGCAGGGCAAAAAGCAAGCTGCTCATTCTCCGCAAAGAAGTTATCGATGTTCCTATTCAATACCAAGCGACCAACTGGCTGTAATGGCAAGATGTCCTCAGGCCAGATCTTGGTTACATCTAGGGGGTCAAAGTCAAATCTGTCTTCATGATCAGGATCAATAGTTTGGATGAACAGTTTCCACTCTGGATAGTTCCCAGCAGCAATTGAATCATAGAGATCCTTGGTGGCATGACTATGATTTGATCCACCGACCTTAATAGCTTCTTCATCCAACAAGCATTTGACTCCACAAGTTGGCTTCCAATGGAATTTCACATACTGTGCTTTCCCAGCTTTGTTGATCAGCATGTAGGTATTAACACCGAAACCATCCATGTGCCTGTAATCTTGTGGAATTCCCAGATCATCAAACAGGAAACTGAACATATGAAGACTTTCTGGATGGTGAGAGAAGAAATCAAGGATCCTCCAGTTCTCCTGAATGTGGGACTTTGGATTTGGTTTCAGGGCATGAACCATGTCAGGGAACTTCATTCCATCACGGACGAAGAAGACAGGGAAGTTGTTTCCAACTAAATCAAAGTTACCCTGAAATACAAAAGCTTCAGCCACGAACAGCAAACACAAAAGAAGTGCAGTGCATTCATTGATCAGGAAACAGAAAATGGCTATCAAGTAAATGGTTATTTCCATCAGATGAAATTCATAAGAACAAAAACCAGGGAATGAAGGACACTTGATACACTTCATTGATTTTGAACACTCCCTTTTACAAATGAATACTCCCTTCAACATCGTATTTTTCAGAATCCATGAGTGATCAAAACCATCAAAAAACAGCACCGCGTGGTGTTTAGGCTTATAAACAGTTCGTTGGATTTCGACGAGATTGAGATTATA